TGAGGGCAGAGCGAAGCACATCCAACTGCGGTACTTCCTCCTGCGCGAGCTCCAGCAGCGCCACCAGGCGCGCGTAGTACACTTGGCCTCTGGTGCCAACAAAGCTGATATCTTTACAAAGGCCCTTGCGCCTAAAGATCATCAGCGGCACTGTGTACAGCTAGGTCTCGTTCCTTTAGCCTCTCACTTGCTAGGGCCTTGACCTTGTACTGTCCTTTATATATATGTTTTGCCCTGACTGGCCTTGTGGCCTCTCACAGTGGCTGGACTAGTAGTGCCGCCCTGGTCTTGCTCTTGCCTTGTCGGTATTCCTTTGACTAGTCTTTAGACCCTTGTCTCAGAGGCTGGACTAGTAGTGCCGCCCTGAGCTGCTTCTTCCCTTGTTAGGCACTGCCCCTATACAGTCTAGGGGGTGTGTCAAACATAACTTATGCAGTTACTGTATACTATATATGTTTGTGCCTTAGTGGGTACAACTCTCTAGACTATATTGCCTTGTATCTCCCCACTCTAGTCATTATTCTTTCTGATACTACTCGCTCCTCGTCTGTTGCCCAGTCCAGCTGCGAGGCTGAGATCTACGCCGGTGCCATGGCGGCACAGGAGCTCCGCTGGCTGACCTTCTTGCTCACCGACTTAGGTGAGCAGCCTAGCTCTGCCCCAGTCCTGTACGCTGACAACAGGGCCATGATCCTCCTGTGTCAGGAGCCTCGACTTGAGGGCAGAGCGAAGCACATCCAATTGCGGTACTTCCTCCTGCGCGAGCTACAGCAGCGTCGCCAGGCCGGCGTAGTACACTTGGCCTCCGCTGCCAACACAGCTGATATCTTTACGAAGGCGCTTGCGCCTAAAGATCATCAGCGGCACTGTGTACAGCTAGGTCTTGTTGCTGTTGCCTCTCACCTGCTAGGGCCTTGATTGTGTATAGACCTTTATATATATGTGTTACCCCGACTGGCCTTGTGGCCCTTCCCAGTGGTTGGACTAGTAGTGCCTCCCTGGTCTTGTTCCTGTTGTGTATGTACTCCTTTGACTGGTCTTTTGGACCCTTGCCTCAGAGGCTGGACTAGTAGTGCCGCCCTGAGCTACTTGTTGTCTTGTTGGGCACTGCCCCTATATCGTCTAGGGGGTGTGTCAAACATATTTAAGCATGTTAGTATAGACAATATTGGTTTGTGCTGTAGAGGGTACAACACTCTAGGCTACCGTATATCTCCGTGTACTCTCTCTTTCTAGTCATTATTCAGTTCTAAGAGACGGGGCCAGCTAGGAGGCAGCGGCCGGCTAGGATGCGGGGCCGACTGGGCTATGGGGTCGACTAGAAGGCGAGGCCGGCTAGGAGGTGGGGCCGGCTAAACTACGGGGCTGGCTAGGAGACGGGCCAGCACGTGCGGGAGGGGAACGGGGCTAGGGTCCTCGCTAGGATTTCAGCCCGTCTGAAAGTCAGACCGGGTTTTTTCGCTTCGTCTGACCATCAGACGGAAATTTTGCATCAGTCTGAACTTCCAGACGAAACAGATTGAGACGTCTGAAATTTCAGACAGAAAATTACACTACATCACACTTAATTTTGCCTTGGAATCTCCACGCAGTACTGACTTTCTGCCGAGTTCCTAAACTTAGGCGATGCAACTTAGTTTGTACAAAGTGGTTCGAGCGAGTGCGCGTGAGAGGCAAAAAGAACTGGGGGGTGTGAGAATCAAATTTGCAAAGGCGGGAGGGAAATCGGCGCCATCCAGGTGGGAATTTTGTGAAGGGCCAATGGGCGCCCTCGCACACAGAGGCCCCCCGCAGTCAAAGCCTACAGCGCACATAGGCAAAAAAAAAATCACACCGCCTCCAGCACAGGGTTCTCTTTTGGAAAAAAACATGTCTGAGGAATCAGACAAGGTTTGCGCATTTTGTCTGATGCACTTTTCACAATCAGAGAAGTAGGAAAAAGTTGTCTGATTTTTCAGAGAATTCTAGAACGAATGTCTGAAGATTCGGAGAAACGTATTTGCATAGTCTATTTGCATGAGATGGTGAGACTTGAAGCACTTCGACTAATTAGCGGTTGCGGGTTACAAACGAGCAAAACCGCTAAGCGTCCAAACCAGCGACTCTGCTAGGATTTTCGACCGTCTGAAAATCAGAGTTGGCTTTGAACTTCCATCTGACCGTCATACGAAGACTTAGGGCGTGTCCAGCTAGTTCATTTTGCCCTAACACGCGCTTTTTACGTCTTATGTACATGCTCGAAAAATGTTACGGGCGTTGTAGATGTCGCGAGGTTCACCTTTTTTATCAAAGAGAGCATGCTTGCCTCGGCCTTGTATCCAGCCTTTGACACGACAAATGCTCTGCGCGGCGAAAACCAAAAGATCTTGGCGAAAGAAATGGAGTTACTGTATTAGGAGGCCTCGCTGTTTTTGCCACAGCATTGACGAATCTGCCCGAATATGACGAAGTTGTGTATTTACTTTTCGTCATCCATGATTTGTCGTTTTTGGTGGGAGTTCATTTCGGGCACGATTTCCAGCCGATTTCAAAACGTGCGCAACAGGACTGCTGGCACATTTCGAGAGCGTCCGCTAAGAACGCACACTTTTCGAGCGGGTCCTAAGGGCAATGAGACTCACGTGATGTGTCACGTGCAGACAGCCCTCTCTTTTGGCCCTGCCGTTTCAGGGTTTGCCCCCGCCCCCAAGTGGTATGGGGAGTAATGTCTCTGATGTGGGGGGGGGACTTAGCCGATTTTTTTGGGGTGCGAGGGGTGTGGGTGTGGGTGGGGAGGAATGTCTCTGGTGAGGGGAACTTAGCCTTTTTTTTCTGGGGTGCGAGGGGTGTGGGTGTGGGTGGGGAGGAATGTGTCTAGTGTAGGGAACTTAGCCGAATTTTTTGTATACGAGGGGTGTGTGGGGAGGAATGTCTCTGGTGTGGGGGACTTAGCCGAAATCTTTGGGGTGTGAGGGGTGTGTGTGGAGCCGGTACACATGTATGTCTCTGTTTCAGAGAAACTCGATTCACTTGTCTAAAAATCAGAGAAACCGGTACACCTAGTCTGAGAAATTCAGAGAAATCTTAAAAGCTTGTCTAGGCCAATCAGAGTTTTTTCAAACCGTTGTCTGAAAAATCAGAAAAACCCCTAAAAACCAGTCTGAAAATCAGACAATCAGACAAAAAAAGTCTGGTATTTAGGACCCTGCTCCAGCACAAACTGGGAGGTAATTTTTGTGAAGGGCCAGTCATTTCCCTCAGCCCCCAGCACAGCATACACTAGCCTCTGATTTTGGTGAAGGGTCAGATAGCACCCTCACGGAGACCCCCAGCAAGTATCGGGCCCTGATTTTGGCTAAGGGCCAATCAGCGCTCTCATACCACAGGCCTGCAGAAAACGTTTCCAAACGAAAGAATACGCACTGTCTGCAGACTCATATGAAATATTACATTCAGTCATAAATTTCAGACGAAAATAAAACATTGCTCCTAACGATCAGACGAATTTTTCAGGGTTGTCTAAACTTTCAGATGAACCTAAAAAATCAGGTCTGAAAATCAGACCATCAGACCGATTTCGTCTGATAAAAAGGGCCCTGCTACCTACTCGTTGAAGTCAACGAATGAGTAGTAAGATGGAATACAAAGGAATATAACCTAATGGGTCGTACTCTCTAAGGCACAACCCTATATAGTCTATAAGAACATACTAAGATATGTTTGACAGGATTACCTAGGGCATAAGCGTAGAGGCTAGGGTCTAGCTTGGCTCCTGATACCATGTCATAATGAAAAAACTGTACGTTTAAAACAAAAATATAACACTGTTCACATGTTGAGGTTGTCCGTCCCGATTACAATATGTAATTTTTTGAAAGTGTGTAACACTTTCTAAAAATGTGTATTGTGAGAGTGTAGTGAGGGCCAACGCAGCAAAGGCAGCGACGAAGCGCTACTCACCCTCTTTTGCCTACAAAAGAGGGACGTGAGGCCATTCGGCCTCACCCACGTTCTTCATTTCTAGTTTCTCTAGTTCAATTTCCGCAGTTTCTCGTCCAACCTGGCGAAGACCCAGTCCCTCCCCCGAGGCAAGGCTCCGACGACGCTCCTCACCGACATTTTGCAGCACAACCTCGCTAACATGGCGTCGGCGAACACGACTTCGAATCGTCCGACGAACAACCCCAACAATTCCATGGAGCCCGGAACTTCGGCCGGGGCAACTGCCCGTCGCCAGAAACGTCCTGCTGAGGAAATTTTTGGCGAGGGGCCCTCGGCTGTCGAGGTCCTGCTTGGCGCCAATCGCGCTACTCCAGAAGAAACTCGCGCGGCTGAAGCCAACGGAGGACCACGCGCCTGCGCACGTCGCGACGGCTGCATGCCACGCGGGCCCCACCAAGCACACGCCCTTTGACAATGTCGTGCCAGCCGCCGCCGCCCCCGCGTTGACCGCACAACAGCTTCAGGCGCTTTTGGCGCTGTTACACCAGCAGCCGAATGTTACGCTCGGAACATCTTCGGACAATATAACTGCTACGACCAATTTCGCCAAGAAGAAAGAAATGCCGCCACCTACTCGCGCGCCGAAAGCTCCGCGCGTCGACAACCAGCCTTTGGCACCGACTCCCGCACTCGCCAATGACACCGACGACAGCGACGACTCTGAAAATGATGATGGTGAGGCTCCTGCCAATATTGCTCGCCATCGCATTCTCGCCCCTGCCCCCCCTCTTCTCCCCCTTGGTCCCACGCCCGCAGCAACTACCTTCATGCGTAAGGGCATGTGCGACCAGGCCGAAGTCTTCACTGGTATCCAAGCGCACCTGCAGCACATCGACTTCGAGCTGCAGCACGGCAACGTCACCGGCACACTCAACAACGTGAAACACATCGAGACACTTATTAATAAGCGTTTCGAGGTGCTTCTTGTGGCGGATGAGGCCGGCTTTGAGGCCGCTGATCGCTTTCAGCTCTACCAGTCCAAGAGTGTGCTGACGTCCCATTCCTACAAGCTGGCGGTCGCCGACGTGGCTGCACTCAAGCGCGCACGCGCCATCTACCCCCGTGGTGGTCGTCCCGGCGGCCGTGACGGAGAAATGGACCTCAAAGGCTCCCCCCCTCTCACGTGCCAGCAGCCACGCTTCAAGGGCGTGTGCTTCCGCTGTGGCCAGCCAGATCACATGACTAACGCGTGCCCCATCGGCGGGCGTGGAGCACAAGGCCCCTCACCGGTGGTGTGAGCGGGGGTAAGGGCGGTGCCCTTCGCCAATATGCAAGAAGCATATTGGGTTGCACCGGGGGTGCATGGCTGGTGGCCGGCCTTAGGACAAGGCAAATGGCCTAGTAGACTAGGGTAGCCCTAGGGGCAGAGAAGGCCGTGGGCCTAGAACCTTGTGTTATTCCATGTATGGATCATGCATGCCGCTATGGCGCATTGAAACTAAGATTGCAAAAAAAAAAAAAAAAAAAAAAAAAAAAAAAAAAACCTTTTGCAAGGCCTCGATGAAAGAGAGAAAGAGAGAGAGCGAGAGAAACAGAGAGAGAGAGAGAGAGAGAAGAGAGAGAGAGAGAGAGAGAGAGAGAGAGAGAGGAGAGAGAGAAAAGAGAGAGAGAGAGAGAGAGAGAAAAAAAAAAAAAAAAAAAAAAAAAAAAAAAAAAAAAAGAGAGAGAGAGTGAGGAGAAGAGAGAGAAGAAAAAAAAAAAAAAAAAAAAAAAAAAAAGAGAGAAAAAAAAAGAGAGAGCAGAA